GGTTATTAGCCACTGTAAGACTTTATAGCACTATTCAGTTTAAATGATTTTATTCAAATCTGAATTCATACAATTGACAGGAATTCAACATTTGGTTATAGATAAAAGTTATTTTTGGAAAGATTTGGCTACTTATGTATTAATTTTTGTATGGTTTTGTTTATTCATCCCTACCTTGTTTTTGTACTTTTTGTCATCTCTACATCATACTTAATTTTTGCTAGTTTTTGTTAGTTGTTGGTAACTGACCACCGTTTTAAAATTTTAGACCGACTATAATATTTTCACAACCAGATAGGGCTTAGTTTTATTATCTGAACTAAAGTATACAGAAATGTATCTTAATTGGCACTGTTCTATCTAGTATAATAATACATCCTTATACATGTAACAACGGTGGTAGTATCCAGAAACATCTACAGATGTAATATTGCCGTCATATTATTTAATTCGTTGTTTTTAAATACGCTATGCCGAAAACTCTTTGAATAACCTATTCCTTGAATACCTTATTAAACAAAAAATCTTAGCGATAAAATATAATGTAATAATGAAATCAATATTCAGACAATTTACTGTAAAAAGAAATTGAAAACAACAACAACAATTCTTAATATGCCTAAGTAACGTATATTATACTGTTTGTTGTTACTTTCATTAACAGTATCACTTATACTACTTAATATATCGCCCCTCCCCCCAGTGGCACAGCTGTATGTGTGCGGACTTACAACGCTAGAAACCGGCTTTTGGTATCCGTAGTGGGCAGAGCAGAGATAGCCCATTGTGTAGTTTTGTGCTTTATTTCAAACATTTAATATGTCGAATGCCTTTAATTTTTAGATACACTTTCAACGCTTTCTTCATTACTCACAAAACTGCAAAACAAGAAAATTATAAAATAGCATTGTAGAAAAGCTGTTTTGTTATATGAATATATAATGTATTTCTATTTCATTCTAATAGTGCATTATTCTTTCTGAATTTGCCCTTTATTCTACATATGTGCAAGCTTTACACAACATGTGGTCGAGAAAGCCTCATCAGTTTGATTTTGTGGAAAAAAAAGCCCGTTCTGCCACCCTCCTAGTAGCTCAGCAGCAAGTCTGAAGGCTTACAACGCTAAAATGTGGGTTTAGATACACGTGACAGACACAGTACAGATAACCCATTGCGTAGCTTTGTGTTTAGCAACAAATAAATATAACTAGTTCTGCCTGGAGAGGATATTGTGCATTGACATATTGTATAAGGATGTCAACAACAGTTAGAGGTTACGGTCCCACTTATGTTGCAATGAGAATGACTAGTCATATAGGTACCACTTGTCGCTTTGGTTAAATGAGTGGTTTCTCTGTGATAAGGAAGTTACATTTGATCAGTGTAGTCTGGAACATCATTTAGTCAGTTTGCCTGTAACGTTATTTAGAGTGAATATAATCTGAACAAGATCCTGAAGCGTTGACAATTGAAATTTTCTAGGCAAAGTGACAGTCCGTCATGTTTAATATTCAAACAAGTGCACTTTTTCTTTATCGTACAATAAAGATTGTACATTTTATTATGTCCAGTCTCGGTTTTTCATTTTACATCGACTCAGTTAGTAAGAGGTTTAGTATTCCTCTATAATCTGTAATCGATATCTTGAGCAAATCTCCAGTTATCTGGCGTACTTATCCGATATAGTTTCACCTGTATATACCACATTATCTATTTAACACAAACAAAAAGTATCATGGGTGTGCTATTTCACATTGAAAATTTAAAGATTTTTTTCATTGTGAGTTACAAAAATGGGCATTCACGAACGTATTAAATCATAGAATTAGATTTGTTTGTTGTGTTGTGAAGCATCAAGCTACACAATGGAGCGTTTGTGCTCTTGCCACTGCGTGTATCGAAACCATATTTTTAACGTTTAAGCCCACACGCAGACTTATCGCTGAGCTACTGGGGAGCATAAAAGGATGCAAAGAGCAAGTTTTGATGTTAAAGGACTTCTCTGTACATAAAACGACATCCGTTTTCCAGATAATTAAGCATCAAGCCTATCATTATGATAATAATAATAATATATTTTATAATATACACAAGATATTTTATCATTATTTTTATTTGTTGTTATGTTTGTTTGTTTTTTCGACATTTAATTAATTCTTAGCCGTGTAATAAATATTATTAAAGTGCGTAGTATTTGGTATCATAGCCTGTATACAACACAAGAGGGCGCGTCAGTTCTAAACATTTCGAGAGCAGATAAGATGTACAGGTAGGATTTAGTTTAGATGAAAAAAAAAAGCGTTAAATTTATAACATTAACAGAGAAGGTCTGAGAAATAGTGGTTTGGTGTCAACGCTATTAGTTTTCTCTGAGTTCTGTTTAAGAAATTGAACTGAAGTTTGAAACATCAGTTTTGTAATTTTCTATGCAGTGAAACTGAATAATTCTAGTAAACCTTTAGTTTTTGTTGCACGAGTGTTTGCCTATAAATTATAACTTAAGTTTAGTTAACTTTAGTATAACTTTACTTGTAGAATACAGGTTTATGAATTATACAGCAGATTTAAATGCAATTTGGGGAATGAATAATTTTAATGAAGTACATGACGTTGATAGGCTTTCTGATCCTTTTGATTTATCTCGTCTCCCTCAACAAGTTGAAAACTGATCACTAAACCCAGACCTAATAAGGCTTTCCAGAGTAAAAAACTGGAACATTTTTTTTCACATACCGAGTGACACTGGAAGCTGGAACAGCCACGAAACAGTTTAAATTACAGTAACTTACTTTTACCATTTGATAAATCATATGTTTATTACATCACATTTTGAAAACATAGACAAAAAAAATATTAAAAATAAAAGCTTACCTGGTTAAAAAAATAAATTAAAAACGCCCAAGTTGTTTGGAACCTATTCAAAAGAAAAAAGTTAATTATTTTTTGCCACTGGGTAAGGATTCAAATCCCAATTCCAGTGAAAACAGCAGAGAAAAAGGGAACACTACCATTTCATTTTTATTCAGTTGATTTTCAAAGTAAAATTTAAAGGGTTTGTGTATAATGACAAACCACACATATTGCAGTTTGTTTTATAGTGACACAACTTTATTAATCTATTGGAGAATTAAAACTGGCTCAATTGGAGACATGCCTGACCAAATGTAGGAGAAAAGTCACAATTTGAAAATTTACGTTTATAACTTTTAAGTTCGTTGAAGTTAAATTTTTCAATTAATCCACTCATTCACATGATGATTACCCTCATATATGCCAGAAAAGTGCACTTGACTGTATTATACATAAATACATTTGTGAAGTTAACAGACTGTATGTAGAGTGCTGTTTGATCAAAAAGCATGACACTATGAATCTTAATGAACAAATGCATAGATTAGATGATGTGTTAATAAATTCAGTATATAATGCATGAAATGTGAAAGGACCCATCTAGTATCATAATCCCGACTAATTTCATGTGAGGTCAGATTAGGCACCATGTACCTCAGGTCAGATGTAAAGCCAAGTTCTTCAGGTAGTGGTATGCCAGGCGAGTAGCCTTTTTCTTCATTTACTTTATCTATCTATATATATATATATATATATAAATCTTTGTACAACAGTTATGCAAGTTGTGTTACTAATGTGTGTGTCATGTACTTTTCATATAATGTTACATATGCATCATGCTATTATTTCAATAAATAACTAACTTAAAAATGTTTTTTGTTATATTACTTTACATTGTATTTGGGTATTAAAAAATTGTGCCTCATTTTTTCTGTGACTTTATTTCCAGCCAATGCCTGACCTTTATAAATCCTAAATTTATTAGTCTTAGCCTATTCCTACTCAGAACTGAAAGTCAAAGGAAACACTTGATGCCATAATCCTACAAGTTTCATTAATAAATTTGAATGCTTCATTCTAAAGACAGAGAACAACAAAGAAATCTTAGCCTATCATCAATAAATGTCCATGCATCCCCTGAATCATCCTAGTATCCCTCTGAGCCCTCTCTAATAGATCAATATTCTTCTAAGATAAGGAAATCAAAACATTACACAGTATTCCAAATAGGGCCTAATTAATGATTTGTATAGAAAGAAAGATAACTACTTCTTTTGAGCTGAAGTTGTTAAATTGCCCTAAAATTAGGGATGTTGCTAGCTGTGGAAAAGATTTGGGACTTGCACCCAAAACAATAGCTACTTCTCAAAATAATTAAAACATGATTATAATGTAATATAGTTTATGTAAAACCTTGAAATATATTTGGGTAATTAGCTCAGTGCCCAAGATTTGAACATTACCTCAATAGTTTGAGTGACTTCCATTATGACAAGATCTATTTTCTTCAGACATGCTGTTGAGTAGGTTCTCATCTATATTAAGTGTGAGATGTAAAGATTGTTTGCCAAATATTTGTCCAACTTATTAATTAATCCAAGCCATTCTGTAATACCTCAATATCCTCAGTACAGTTAACAATAGATAAGTGTAAGAATTTAACTTTACAAATTATTAATATACTAATTATGCCCTTATAAGTATCATTTTATGTAAAGTAGAAAAAGAAAGGCCAAAGCAATGACCTATGAGGCACTGCAATAGTAACTAGGGTTGGGTTCAACTGGGATATATTAATAACAACCTTTTGATTTGTCCCATACAACCAACTTACAATCCAGTTGAGAAGTACATTTTTTTCTCCAACTTCTACTCATGTGAATTTTTTAACTAATTTTTTGTATGACACCTTATCAAAAGCTTTTACAAAATCTAATTGTACACCCATCCCCATTGTCCAGATAGCATGTAGTATTCTCAAAAGAAAAAGTTAATAAGACAAGTTTTCTCTTTTTGTGAATCAGTGTTTTCTTTTAGTTATAATGCTGTATTTTGCTAAATGTTTATGTAAACTTCTTTTATCAGGCTATAATTTTTCCAATTACAGAAGTAAGACTAACTGACCTGTAATTTTTGAATCTAGGTAATAAAGACAATAGGAAAAAATGTCAATCAGAAAAAAAAAAGACAATTACAAAAACAGGTAAAAAAGTCAAAAAGTATTTTGCTTCTCCTTATAGGCTTCCCATTTTTTGTTCAACATTTGTTATTAAATCCTACTGTTCTGTTTATCCTTTCTTGCAATTTATTTTCTCTGGATAGCTATATTTACCTGTTTGTGTAATTTTCTTTGTCTGTTTTCTTTTGTCTTTTTTTCTATGTCCTTTTTTCCAATCATCTTTTTTACCCTTGTATTTATTACCACCACTGGTAATTTCCAGAGCAGCTCTTATCATTTCCTTTAAAAATATGAGCAATATTTGGAAATATCAAATGTTCAGACCCTGACTGATATCTGTTGACCTATCAAAAATGCAAGAAAATGTCTCAAAAATCTGATCTTTGACCTATTTTTAACACCCTGTAAAAAACTTTGTTTAACCCTGATGCTTTGTCTATTTTTAATCTTTCAGTGTTTTTACAAGGATTCCTTTGTAACTGGTCCATTCATATCATCAGATGTCCATCTGCCTATATACAGCCCTTCTGTTGAACTCTCCCAACTTTGTTGCATTTACCTCATTTAAAGGCAAGCTGTTTCAAGTAATTAATATCTATGTGATCTACTAACCATAAAGCAAGATGATTGTACCTTCATATAGTCAAGAATTATGGCTATATACATCAAAAGTCAGGATTAAAATCATCTCATTTGAACCAGTGTCAGATCAAAAGTTCAACAAACAATGTTCAATAATTTCATGACTAATCTTCTAAACAAAAATTTATGTGGACAGGACCTACTTTATATAATACAACTCAGAGTATTAGTAATTGAATGTGCCCTTCCTTCTACTACAAAAATGTTTTTCTCCTAAGGTCTAATGAATATCCAATTCACATAACATCTATAGAATAGTGCACATACTGCTACATTAGCCATATTTGTGATAAAGCTGGCCCTTGCAATGAATTTATTAGTCATTAAGTACAGCCATTTTACCTACTTGGGTGTTCTTCCAAATTGTCTGATTACCTAAAATTGGGCTCGAGAGCTAATGGAAGTGAGGGTAAAACTCCGGTCCAAGCCTTGTATTGGTAGCTGAAATGAAGCCACTTTATTTACAAGTAGTGACTAAAGGCTTCTAACCCAGAAGGTTTTGTGGGCTTTTCACACTTCACAATTTAATTTGTGTTGGAATGCAAATGGAGTATGATTTGAATAAGTAAAAGTCAGGTTGATTTCACAAATATATCCAGGATTATATTTGTGTAATCAACACAAAAACTCAATACCCATACACAGGACAGGTGAAGTGAAGAAAAAGTGTCATTGGACATTATTCTGCTCTTCACATTATATAGCCACACAATAGCACATGTTGATCAAAGTGTAGATTGAACTGGGCCTTCCTTAATTAAACAATTTTTGGAATACTACATTAATTTATTACTAGATGTGTCTAATTATCTCTGTACTTTTTTGTTTATATGTTGTTTGCTGAGGCCTCAGACTTTCTCTAAACTATGCAAGCACTGCTGTAAGGTAACAACACTCACTTAAGGCAATGAGAAAAATACAGAAGATTCAAGTAACTTGGCATCCACAGTACTACAATAATTGAACCATACATACAATGCACGACTCTTACCTTAGTTATGCAACCAAACATGTCATAACTATTGCCTTTAAAATGATTAACTTTTAACACCCTTGTTATGAAAACTAAACAATTTTGATGACTGGATTGCATTGTTCCTGGGTGGTACATAAAAGCAAAATTGCACCTGTACACACACACACACACACACACACACACACATCTGTTTCAATGCCACACATTAATTAATGTATACTGGAGTATTGGATGTTAGTGTTCAACAGGAAGCAAGTTATGCTACATCTGTGTTTTTAAGTGTGTGTATGACCCCTTTAAATATAAATAATTCTTCCTATCATGGTCATTCATCCACATCATATTTCTCATTCTCAACTTCAAAATATGTGCTTATACACAATGCCCAATGTATTAGATATACAAAGGGCAACAACAAAATTATTTTAACCATAATACCTGTATCTCCATGGCTTCCTGTTACCATCTGTGACACACAAAAATGCATTATATGAAATAAAAGAAAATTCAACCAAAATTCTGGAAATTAATACAGATTCTGTTAAATCAACTTCTCATGCTTTGTTAAGAGTGCACAATTTTGTATAATGATGCAAGACAAGGTTACATCAACACACACACACCCAAGTGTGCTAATTTGCTTAGGAAGCTTCTACAGGTAAACACCCACTAAGAATCAACCCAAAACCCATGGTTTGGAAAGCAAGGATTGTAAAGTTCTCTCAGCATGTTGGTTTATCAGTCATTGTCAACAGTCCAAACCAATTGTCTGCTTCTATTAGAATATCTTCTGACCACATCATTTATCCTAACTGCATATCTGTAATCATATATGATCTATCAGCAGAAATGGCTGTACAACACAACCATATAGAGTAAACAAGGCATCAGCCCAACATCTTGCTACCAAATATCACTTGATAGCTTAGAAAGTAAAGATTGGAACACCATTTCAGCTGTTGATATATCAACCAACCAACTGTTATAAATTGTGCAATGACTGAGAAGATATAACTCATCATAATGATGGCATCTTACCTCGAAACTCTACCCATTAGATTGAAAAGTAAGGAATGACACCTGTCAATCATTGATTTTTAGTTAACTGACCATCCTAACTGCTGGTAAAACAGTCAAACTTGGTCACAATAAATACACAGTAAGATTCTTGGAACTCATCAAAGCAAACTGACTGTTCCTCTACTGATGTTTCCTCATCCAACTCCTCCCAAGCAATCTGATTTGTACCACCAACCTCTTTCTAATCAAAGCTGAGTTAAGATTATATAATACAGTACTTATCACTAGAGCTAACCTGCCAATCCACCTATAATTCTTGGAACATCCTGTCCTCAAGAGGTGCATTAGTAATAGAGAGTTTAAGTATTTTGATGTGTTCAGTGCATTTATGCACATCACATGACCAGTATCAGCTATAGGTTTAGATTACGTTGTTGGAACAATCACCAAAAGGATAGTATAAATGAAAATACTTACGTTTCTGCAAAGTTGATATAAAATATTTTGGGTTAGTACTCTTCTTCAGGCAAGTTGCTAATTTGTATTTGACAGAATTGCAATGTTCATTTTTCACTGTGAGTTATAATCCCCCTTTTTGGACTGTCAATGGACAAGATACAAACCATTCCACCCAGAACTGAGTTGATTATGTGTTGCCATAAGTTCAAAAGCCAAATGCAGTCTTCAGGTTCAAATATTTTATTTCAATACTTTGTTGCTATATTATCTCTTTCACTACATAGCAAACTTACCTATTTACTTTGCATAAATTCATGTTTATCAACTGTTGCAGAATGCAGCCATTCCTTCTATTCCAGTGGACACTGCAGTTTGTCTGTAGTGTGCAGAGGACTGTAATTCTTGTTTAAACATCAGGAGATTCAGAGAATATACAGTGATGTGGTAGATCACCATAAGATAAAGTAGGTTCTCATTCCAGAATTTGCAAACGTGCTTAACAGTTTATAATACAGTAAATTGTACATTTTCACCACATTCAACACTTGACAGAACTGGCTTTGACCTTGGCATATTGATATTTGTGAATCTCTCCAGATGTTGTGAAACATCTATTGTTCAACTAACACATCAGTGATGGACTGTGCTAAAATGTTAACCAACAATAAATTTTGTCCTACGTGGTGATGTAATTGACAAAGATTGGTACTTACTGATTACCTATCTCAATTTCAGGTGGAGGACCAACTATATCTTAAGCATTTCCATCAAAGAGGATCCTTCAATTCTCTCTCTAAGCTTATTTCCTTTAATGACATGTTTGTCCTCTGGGCAGTGTCATGTCTGCTTCATCATTCAGTGTCTTTATGTATATGCAGCTGCATAATTACATTATAAAATGATGTGAAACACTCCCTGTTGTTTTTTCAGTTTTTTACATAATGAAAAGCTTGAATTATCTTGTGCCTTAGAGGTTGGGAGATCATTAGATGGCTTGCAAGTTCAATACCACACATTGGTGGTCTTTCTCAGAATGGGTTACAATGGCGGATGACCATTTCCACTGAAGTTGGTAAATCCAAATGTCTATAATTACAGACTAGCTCAGATCAACAGTATTAGTCAGACAGAAAACTATTTCAAAAACTGCATCCTGCTTTTTGTGTTTCAGTTCTATCACTACATCAGATGGTGGCAATGCTCATGTCTACTTTGTCACCATTACCAATAATGAAGTTTGTGCTAATTACCTGAAATGATGGCTTCTTTCATACGCAGCAAAATTGAGTAGGGTCTTGGTAGCTCCAGTATTCATTAGAATATCATCCTTACATCCATGCATCATTATTGGAATGTACCATGTGATTCCAAGTCCATGGTTCTCTGAACCACCTATCATAACATTAGGCACAAACTTACTGTTGCACCCACCCTTACTGGTGACCAGATCCAGTAGTTGAAAATAGTCAGAGCAACTGCAGTTATAGCTTGCTGTTGATCCTTTTGAATCTGTTTCAGCACTAGTCATAATGATACACTCTACAGTTCTTTTATGCAACAGAATACTGATAAACTTATAACCAGGTAAACTACATTTGAAGCAGAGAATCCTTCCCTCATGTTCCTGGTGTCTTTGGGAGCCAAACTACTACTAATGAGGTGGTGCAGTCGTGGTAAATGGACCTAAAAGTCAATATCTCCTCTGAAGCTATGGTATCTGCACTATAACACCTTGTAGCATCAGTTGCAGTAAAGCTGTTGGTCAATGCTTTTGCTGAGACTTGGGGCATCAAGAACCCTGAAAGTTCCCTCAGACCGACTTTGCAGGATATATATGTAGAAAAGTAAACTTGAATTTGATCATCTTGAAATTTCATCCTCATCATCGTCACTAAAAACACTTGTTTAACACTTTAAGCCATGTTCCCTCTTTCACACAACTGTTAAGTACATATATATATCTTTTTCCTAGTTATAGAATTAGATTGAAGGATATATAGCATGATCCTACCAAGATTAAGATTTCAGACTAACCCAGCCAATTTCCCTAAAGTTTACCTCTTATTTGTAAACTATTTCTGTTGCACTGTAACTCAGCAGTGTCATCATTCCAATCAAGTGGCCATTTAATAGAACAGTGTCCTGAGAAAAATCTCAGATAATACATTCATAATATTTATTTGACCAATACTTGGTAATTCCAATGGCATATATATACATACATACAATGCTAACTACCACTGAAGCTTATAATATCCTTGACACTTTTTGCAGTTAATATAAGCTTAAAACCCACAGGTCAAATTTGATGTTTTGAGAGACTTCCACAATCCATCTTAGCGATAACAAAACTTTCTTAACTGTGGTTCATTTCAATGAAGCTCACCTCCCTCCATTTACAAACATTTTATATCCATGTGAGCTAGGTATTTTTACACATTCTACTTCTTCCATGATTATACATTTTTTTTCTAGTAGCAACATAATTTATCTGCTTGAACATGCAGATATTTCTGTCTGTGTTACTAACTTAATCATATGGCTTAATGAAATACCATTAAGAATATTTTTCTCTTCTATTTTAAGGATACTAACCAAAATGCTCAACATTTTTCCCTGTGTCAACAATATCACTTGTTAAGTTTCAACTCATTTGTAAAAAATTAGCCTTTCTTCTCCGTTATTAGCATTTTTTTAGAAGGGTTTTGAACCCTTCTAAAGTAACACTTGTAATTTTCATTTGACTAAGACTCAATATTACCAATGGCATGTACATGCACAGTATTAACTACTATGTATGGTTACAGTTTTACAGCTAATATTACTATGAAACCAATTAAGCTTTCGTTTCTCTTTCAGTAGGACTAACTAGTCTATTTCATATCCACTAAAATCTATGACATTTCAGAAATTTTCTCTCATCCATACATAAACATAAGTTTAAACAGTTATTAATAAAAGTAATTCAGTACTTCTCCAAACATTTTTTCTACTTAACCCCATTGTTAAACATATGTACCTTATCTTTAAAATCTGTCCAAATTAAACCAGTTTACTAGCTAATATGTACATATTCTTGGTAATTCCACATTAAAGTCTCACACATTGAATTTTATTGTTGTTACCTAACCTGTAGAAAAAATAATAGCTGTTTCTAATCTTATAGTGTCAGAGTAGTTCTTTGTGTCTGGTTGAATTATTGTACAACCTATCTACCATTCACTGAAATCATTAGTGTGAAGAAGAATTACAAACAGTATTCCTTACTCAATTCTTACTACTCAACTCACCAACAGATTGATTAGTGATATTGTATGCTGAATGAATAGCTGACTCTTGTTGTTCTTGTTCCTTATAATTGTTTACTTGGTATTTTTGATATGACTAGTATAAAATGTGCATACTCCATTGCAGGGTTCAAAGGTCCCCTCATGATTCACAGAGGCCTCAATGTACTGGTCAAGCTCCTCCATTATTCCCAATTACTTCTATAGCTATCACAACAGAGGTTCGTACCCAAAAACAAACCCTGTTAGAACATCTGCCCATGGTACCTCAGCATGTTTGTCACATTTGGTCCTGGTAGCTTATGAATGAGGTATGAATACATTTTTAAACTTGGCACCCCCAGGATTCTTTGGGGACCATAAACACAAAATCCAATGACAGATTTAGGTTAAGCAACCCAGAGAACCTACTGTCATGCCTAGGTGCATATTTTCTCTCCTTGTTATCCCAAAAGCTGCCCTAAGAGAGGTCCATGACCAAAAAAACCATTAGGACACTTGGCCGTGATACTTGTGCACAAGTGCAAAGTCTGTTCTCACTGACTTAGTTAGGTAGGAACACTGTTTCAAAAATATAAATAGTGTCCTAGGATCCAAAGGGGGGCCCAGAAATAAAAACTCTCATGCCTGAAAATCTACTCCTAGATTGCATCATGCCTGGGCAACTTTCTGGGGGCATTTTAGGCCCCTTTAGTAGGGAGGTTATGCCACATAGTTAAGGACTCCCTGGGGTCATCCTAAGTCCATCTGCCAAGTTGAAGGAGTTTGAATAAACGAAGTAAAAAATTCAACACAACATGAATTAATATAGGATAGAATAGTCAATGAGCATTCAATGGTATATATTTTTGACTATTAAAAATGTAAAGTGACATTGTTATAGATGCTAAGATAAACATTGTGTCTAATCTTTAACCCTTTCACTGCAGCTAGGTCATATATTTCCCAACGCTCCCACCCTTCACACTGCGACAAATGTTTCCTATTGTTATTCAAAATTGCCGTGCATAAAATATGGGAGTAAAATGAGTTGGAAAGTATTTATTGGCATCACACCTAATGGTTTCCTTCAATGTTTTCCACTCGGCCCATCAGTAACCAACAAGATGCCTCAGCAGAATGTACAACAACTGCATGCCGACCATGCTTGCATTGCTAGAGCAGCAAGTAGTAACTGTAATTACTATATAAGTATGCTTGATGTGCTTGACTCGGTTAGCTTAGAAGATAATGAAAGTGGGTCAAGTGGTGTTCAAGTGCGTGATGATGAAGAGGCAATGAGACAAGAGGATGCTAGCTGTCCATCTAATGATGATAGACAAGATGATGAACCTGGACCCAGCAGCGGAAGGCGTTAACCACATTGACAATGAGAAACATTTGTTCCAGTTGCAGTGTGAGGAGGTGGGAGCACTGGGAAATATAAGTCCCAGCCGCAGTGAATGGGTTAAAATTGTTATGTTACATATTTTAGTACATTTTGTTTTTTATTGTTGTTTTTTTCAGAAACTGCTCTTGTCTTTAAAATCATTGAAGAAGATTAGAAGACACTGTCTGTCTGTGGTGTTATTCTTGAAATATGTCAAGCATCAGATTTGGTTTACTGTCTCGCAAACTAGCAAATGCCAATCATACGTGGAATACCATAAGACCATTAGTAACAACAACAGCAAGAATTAACATAAAGACATTTTATTTGGGTAGCTTAACCCATGCTCATTGTTTTAAAGCAAGTTACATAAACTTCAAAGTCTTGAACAACGATATATTACAAGGAGTACACACTGCTAACTTTTGTTCTCATGGTCATGTTGAAGACCTTGGAAGTCGAATTCGACAAAACTACCACAAGGAATGTGAAGAAGCTGTCAATAAACAGATAAATTTGGAGCTCCAAGCTTCTCATACATACCTATCAATGGTGTGTATAAATATTTTAAGTAAAAAAGATTTATTCCTTTGTAGTTGTTCTACTAAAAATGCATATATAATTAAAAACTAGAAGCTTTATTTATTTATTTATTTTTTTTATTTAAGGTATTTTGTCAATTTTTGCATACCAGTATGTACATGTCTGCTGGGTAATTTTTTCCAAATAGACATGGGCAGCGGTTTAATCCAGCTGAAAAAAAAGAGGCTCTAAATGATTTATTGAAGTTATTTAAATTAAATATAATCAGAGGTAAGAGAAGCTCCATTTAGTTGAGATGGATATGATTAACTATTAAATAAAGATGCATGTACTAATTACAAACATGGCTATAGGTTCTAGTAGGAGAATTTGTAAATTGAGTTTTTTGATATTGCTAATTTAAGTATAATCGACATATCTGAAGTTTGGCTAAATGATAGCAATAGAGGGTCATACTTTTGCATTGTCTCATAGTTACTGGCTTTCACTATTGTGCACTAATTACTGAAATTATAGCTATTGGGCTATTCTTTTATGCTTATTTTTACCAGTGTTATCTTAACTTTCTATAATACATTTTTTTTTACTGCTTTGTTCTTCTAGTACATGTGGCTCATTGTTGGTGGACAAGACTTCATATATTTAAATTCATATTTTTGCCCACATTCTTTATCAGATCCACTGATATTTCATTTGGAATCATACTCAGCTTATACATAATTTATGACAAGCCACTGTCTTTTATTAAATAAAATGTTTTCCTTCCTTTGCTAGTCTTCTCCAGTGCTGAAATTGTGTAATATAATTAGTATAGATAAGAGTATTTTAAAATGTGGCTTCACTTGAATAATTTAAATCTATTACACGACTACAGATGGTTAATTTCATTGCACAAGAACAATCTGGCAAATATAAGCTGTAATGCTACATATGGCATGTCTAACACATACACTTGGTTCTCAGAAATTCCTGACTATTCAGCTTATGTATGTGGAGGATGTGCTGTCTTCCTATAGATAGAGAGGTGTAGTCTAATGATGATTACATCATAGTGTTGTATTTGAAGAAACAAATATACACAAGTAAAATATTTAATTTCGGCCTGTCTTAGGTTGTTATCACTGTTTTTGGAGCGATTTCAAACAAGCACAACAAGATATAATTCAGTAATGATTATCTGTTTGACTGGATATATATTTTTTGGTATATTTAGTGCATGAAAGTTATAAATCTGTAATTGTCTTGTGTGTAAATTTTCAATTTTTGTTACTATTTTTTCAGATTTTTGAAATGCATAATTTTTAACTCAAATGTGTTAGTATTTCACTTGAATTTTTTAACTTGTGCCTAACACTGTTTTTTTGTAGGCTGTATGATTTTAGAGGAGTGATGTGCATGTGATGAACCCTAAAATTTTTTTCAAGTAATATCTTAGCTATACTATAGCTATTAGCTATTTTTCTGGCTATTTCCCAAACACAGATCTAATTGTTTTTTTAATATCTATTTCCTCCCTCTTTCTAATAGTCAACATTTATGTTGTCTGCAAGTTGACATAATTACTAATGAATGTACCAAGCTCAGCAGTATTGGTCCTCTGCATTTCCTATATCTGAGTCCATATTCAACCAAATATTTCTTGCAATACAGGATTTTAACATACTGCTGTTTGTTGTCATATGCTTATCACTTTTTTTTTCTTTTTATAATTCAGCTATTTTCAGCCCTTTTTAGTTTCTCAGTGTTTTAGAGTTTTATTTTACAGAATTGGACACTTATTTCCATCCATTCAAGTAAAAACTTTTCTTTCTTTTTGTTTTATTTAAGATTCTTTTATGGCTGTACACCAGTCTCACCTAATGGTGCAGAAATGTTTGTAATTCAAAAGACTCTATAGGAGCTTTTCTTTCATATTGAGTTAATACTTTGACTTCTCTCAGCAAGATTTGATGAACTTCAAAGAAATTCAAAAGCTTTATCTCATGATTGAAAATGCAACAAACAGTAAGAGTTACATTTACTGGATGAAGTAACACTGATCAAAATATTTTGAAGTAAAATACTTCAAAATAAATATAACTTTTATTGGTATTAACTAATTTACCTCTTGATAGTCATTCTTCCTTCTATGTTTGTGAAAAAAGAATTGAATGATTTTTTATTGCACTTAATTTTGTTACTCATTTTACACTAAAATAATTGTTACTTAACTTCGGTAAATTTTTGTATTGGTCGTAGGAGTCAAGCATAGACCCCTCCCTAAATATCTTCATAATGAATAACCTTATGTTTGCAAATCATGTGATTTTCATTCATTTCAAATAATACTCTTGATCTAACACCTCACTCAATGCATGCTGCTGCTTGTTTCCTGTTTTCAGATCAAGGTTAACCATTTCTTGACTACTGGGTTTTTACTTGCATCTGTTGACCTAATGCTTTTTCCTACCCAAGCCCTAAACCTGGTCTTTGTAAAACTAATTACAGTTATGAGACATCAATGAATCAACCTAGTATTAATACAACAAATATTTTTTTCTTGAGAATGTTTTTTTTTTAACTTTGAACAGATTGAATATTTTAGATATTTTACATTTCTTCTTTGTATTGTTGTAGGGCTAATGCCCACATATTGCCCCTGCTATCCAATTCCATGGTGGGCAGCAGTGCTGCACCTCTGATCACATCAGTTTCAACTTTGAATTGAGAGATTATCATATTTTGGAGAAGGGACCTAGAGTTGCAAAAAGACAATTTTTAAATGCACAAGAATAAGTTTGGTTGCCTGAAAATTGATATTTACTCTCTCATTATAACATGTTTCCACATCTCATTATTGTACTAAAAAATATATTTCTATGAGAAGCTCTTACTAAGCTTCAGATTAGCCATGACATTAAACAGTGCTTTGTTAGACCAGATTTTGGTACTTGTGGTGGGCACAGCACAGACATTCCATTTTGTATTTTTGTGTTTAATAATAAATAAACCAAACTTTTTAAATTTTTTTTACCGACATACATGTAAAGGTTAATTGTAGTTTACTTTTAGCCTCGTGATTAAATGTTGGATTTCGGTAAATCCTGGTAAATGACTTATTAATTCTGCAAAAAATTTATACTATTTTTTCATACTTTTCTGTTTAACATATTTAGATTGTAATTTAAAATCATAATGTCTGAAAGGTAGAGGATTATAATACACTTGTTTGCACTTACCCATATCTGCTGATGTGTAATTAGTTTTTTAAACATGTATAATACATTTGATATGATGCTTTATATCCAGTAGCCTATCTAGTAGATTGTATGTATGTACTGTAATAAACATTTTATATATATTGTATTCATAATCAGTACCAATGACAGTTGGAAATCCAGTTTTTTGTATACTCCAATTAATTTTACATTTCATCATGTTGTGTTTGCATTTACTGATGTTATAGTTCTATTTCTTATATTTTATGATTGGTCTAAGATATGAAATATGTTTTATGCTTATTCTTGTTTTTAATTTTAACAACCACAGATTGGTTGAAGTTATTTATGGAAAAATATTGTTTCTTCAATATTGTTATAAAAAACATTCCTCTTTAAAAATGTCCATGCTTATGTGGAGATTTTAGCTAATAATTACATGTATGGTAGAAATAACATGTTTGAAATTAACAATTGTTTTGAAAAAATAAATTCAAGTAGATTCTAACTGTTCTCATAACAATCATACCCTTCTCCCAGCCCTGAGAAATACACAGACAAAACATGACCTTGTACTTTGGTTTGGCAGGAAATACCAATGACTTATATTGAATTTTCCCTGTATAAGTGTAACACATGTCACTGCTTTATATCAGAGGTTGTTTAAAGATAAGCCAAATTAAGGACAGGATAATGGAATCAATAAAATCAACTAAAATGTTTGTATTCTGATAAATATCCAGAATAATAACCAATAGCTATGGTAGTGATATGTCTGTATTCTGATAAATATCCAGGATAATAACCAATAGCTATGGTAGTGATATGCCTGTATTTTGATGAATATCCAGGATAATAACCAATAGATATATTAGTGATATATCTATATTCTGATAAATATCCAGGATAATAACCAATAGCTATGGTAGTGATATATCTATATTCTGATAAATATCCAGGATAATAACCAATAGCTATGGTAGTGATATGTCTGTATCCTAGTAAATATCCAGGATAATAACCAAAAGCTATGGTAGTGATATGTCTGTATTCTGATAAATATCCAGGATAATAACCAATAGGTATGGTAGTGATATGTCTTTGAATTTTTTTTTTTAGATTAAATTTACATCCTATTTAAATCAAAAGAATAAAATGTTTATCCCCAGTCAAAAGGATATATATATATATATTATTATTGTACTTAGCATGTATATTGATCTAATGATTTCCCAGGCCTACTATTTTGATCGTGATGATGTTGCATTAAAAGGATTCTACAACTACTTCAAAAAGTTGAGCAGTGAGGAGCGAAACCATGCTGAAAGTTTGATGAAGTATCAGAATAAAAGAGGAGGACAAATAATACTGAAAGATATTAAGGTTTGTTTTCTTAGTATTTTAGTGAAAGAAAAGCATAATATACATGTCTTATATGTGCAAATGTACTGTTGGTGTATTCTATGCATAGCATGCAGGCATGCTAGGTATTTTATTCCCCCTCTATTTAACTCTAAAGGTCACCTAATAATTTTCAATATTCTCATGCATAAAAGTGTATGTAGTTTTGAAATTATTACATTCATCAAGGAAGTGGCTAAGTTCCTTTTGCCCAGTTACCTATTTTTCTGGTCATTCCTGGATGGTATCACATGTACTTTCTCATGGGAAAGATTGCTATAAAGTAGAACATGTTATATATATATATATATGTGTGGTGGTTTCAGTTGTCTTTTACTCACCATACTCAATCTCTGTTTATATAGATATTTGAAAATAGGTAGCATTGATGCTGTTAATGTATTATTTTGAATTAGTCGATAGACAAACTGATTAAAATACTGAAAAGTAAATAAACACGAAGCCTAATCTATCACTTGATTCGCCATTTCTCACTGAGTTATACCAGTATCATATCTATTTTTTTTAAACAATGATGTTTTTTACTTGGGGTTACATATCATTTGTTGCTTTACTGTTGGAATGACCAACAGTGGCATAGGTAGCACACACATCTATAGAAGACAGACGTTTCAGAGTTGTGTATATAATACCAGGTTTTCCCAGGCTGGAACGGTTCTTCACAGAAGTATCTGAAAGCTCCGGTATAGGTACCATCCTTCATTTACACAGTCGTAGTTTTGATTGTTTTTTGTTTTTTTGAATATCTATTGTTTTCAGTGTGCTTTACATTGTGTTCAGTCTCTTTCTTTTTCACAATTAAGCCAAAACAAGAGAATTCAGTTTAACTCTACAAAAGATTTTCTGAATCTGATAAGGAAAGAGTTCATCAGAAGTAACATATTTCAACCCAATTTTTTTTTTGCATTTTATAAGCTGTCTATGTGACAATTATATGTGCATGTCAGTGTAATTGAGTCAAGATTATGATTAATGCTTTAAAATATTAACATCTTAGTCCAATTTAATTTTGTATTTATATATCAAGATTTGATTGTTAGTTTGCACAAAGAACTATTATAAACTGAATTCTTTTGTTTCCATACCTTTCCACTAACAAATCGTATATTATCAAACAGATTATTTGTGTAAAAGATGAGCTGTAGAGAAAGGGGTCTTCTTCATTATGCATGTACAAGAGAATTTTTTTTATCTCTAAATATTTTTTATTGAGTTCTGGATATATTTGAGATGCATAAAATACTTTACCAAACACTTTTGAAATATGAAACTAATAGTAAATTTTGCAAGGAACGTATATGTGACTGATTTGAGTTATGGAAGGGATATAAGTCTGCATATGGCTGCATGATACAGCTTGAATTTTGAAAGACATGCATATCTTTTTGAACTACATAGAAGAAAGCATGATACAACTTGAAGTATGAAACGTGTGTCTCTTTTAGAACTAAAACACAAACCACGTGATATAGCTTCAAGTATGAAACACATGCATCTTTTTGAACTGTACAGAAGACAAGATGATACAACTTGAAATGGCATGTCACGTGGCTCTTTTTGAATGTTCGTAATAATCACATGTATTAAGCATGTTATACAAACCTTAATTAGCTTTGATTTACACCATATGATTCTGGTTAAAAGGAATAGCAAGTTATGTTGGTCATTTTACATTACCAAACAGACACTGATTTTTACTTGCAACATAAAATATTTTATGTTATCACTGTGAAACACTATATAATTGTACTTGATAGGAATAGCAATATATGTTGGTCATTTTACATTACCAAACAGATTGCCATGATTTTTATTTGCAGCATAAAATATTTTGTAAGTGAAAGTCCACTATTATAATTGGTTATCGATTAACTGTGGTGTAATACCCTACGAAAGCTGTATTATGTAATGTGAAATGTATACTTTATTATATTAAATACCTAATAAAAGCTACAGTTAAACTAAAGACATCTTTAATCAGCAAATGCTGTTTATCCAGGAAAAACAAGTTTCCAACTTCAAAATGTTAAGTTTTCTACTAAAAAAAACAATGACATGTTTACCTAAAGTCTGTAATAGAAAGCTTCATCTAACAACATTAATGTAAATTTTATAAATTTTCTGTTTACCGTGTATGGATTATGCATGTTTTAATCTGACAAATTAACTGTGTTCTGCTTTTAAAATGAATCTTTTTAGCACTCATTAAAAGAATGTTACATTTTATGAATTTAAGTTTTGATCAAACTTAAACTTGATCTGCTTTGTGAGAAGGTGAAACATCAGACTTTTGGAGTAATTTCATTTCTTTCATGTTCTGTTAATTAGAATTTTCTTATTATTATTAAGAGCTGGATATAAGAGAGCAGCCTTAGAAAAAATACAGTTATGGCATTGTTTCTTGATGATCCTTCTACTTTTCAATGTTGTAAGTAGGTGTTGCAAAATTTAATCCAAAATTAAAGTGTAGCACAAGTGCATTAGATGATACAAGTATATTAGCACTGTGAGACTCTTTATGACCCTACTGTCTTTTTAAATTTGAGAAAGACTGGATAATTTTACTTTGTGTAAAGCATGTTATACATGTTTTTTTTTTAAGTAAAAATAACCCATGTAGCTTTTTATTTAAATTTTGAACATGTCTTTGAAGTCATTCTGGACATTGAAATAGGTTTTAGAGGTTTATTTGATTTGTAGAGTATTGCATGTGGTTGTGTATGAACTGTGGCAGACGACATGATGCTTAAAGAGTATGTCATGTGTGGTATTTGAAACATATCTTGGGAGTCATTTTGAACATTGAAGTAGGCTTTAGGGGTTTAGTCTATGGAGCATTGTAGTATATGTGGTTCTTTAATGATGTTGAAGAGCATGTCAAGGGGTATTTGAATTGTGGAGTACCATACATAGTTTAATTTTATACTAAGTATTTGATATGAGAAACGCTGACACAATTTTAAGAATTTCGGTTTTTATCGTAGATTTCCATATAACAGTTAAATGAGAAAGTGTTTTGAAGAAGTTGATAGTAAATGAGTTGTTGTGAATAGTTTGATGGAGTTAAAAGAAATGAGAGTTGAACTGTTAAGTATAAATCGAAATGATTAATTTTAAATAAAGAACATTCTGTATAACTTCGCAGCTTAAGAGCATTGGAATGAAACAAATATATTTCATCATAAAAATACTAAAAACTGGGTTTTGAGACTTGTGGTGGGCACAGCACATAAAACCTGTTGTATAACTTTGCACTTAAGAATAAACAAATTTGTCATAAAAATTTAAAAAGTAGACCAAGTTGAACAGTTTTTTTACTAGTAGCCCACATATTTGTTTTTAAGATAACTGTATTTCATCATAATAAATAGGCTATTATGAGGTCAAATAGGTAAAGCATGATAACATGTACATGAAACATGAAATGAGAAGCCAAACCATTAAATAGGCTCCATTATTTTAGCTATTCAACTACAGATGTTGGATAATTTGGTAAAACAAGTGTAAATTAAAAATTGCACATGATTTAAATTTGTTAAATGCTGTATAATGTAAGTAAAAAGCTGTAGTCAGTAAAAGTTTTGACATGTTATTCATGTAATATACTTACAATATTTCCAAAGTAAAACTTTTACAGCTGTCCAGATTGATGAGATAAACTTTTACTGTATGTTCTTTTATATTATTCAAAATCAATGAGTCTATTTTGTAAAAATTGCAGTCATCATACATACCATTATACAAAATATATAATGTATCTTAATAATTAGAGCATTGTAGTGTAGAATGTCTTAAGTTGGTGAACCATAATCCATTAGATAAAAGGCATGTTGTCACAACTTGAGCATTGTAGTGTAGAATGTCTTAAGTTGGTGAACCATAATCCATTAGATAAAAGGCATGTTGTCACAACTTGAGCATAACAGTGTAGAATGTCTTAAGTTGGTGAACCATAATCCATTAGATAAAAGGCATGTTGTCACAACTTGAGCATAACAGTGTAGAATGTCTTAAGTTGGTGAACCATAATCCATTAGATAAAAGGCATGTTGTCACAACTTGAGCATTACAGTGTAGAATGTATTAAGTTGGTGAACCATAATCCATTAGATAAAAGGCATGTTGTCACAACTTGAGCATTACAGTGCAGAATGTCTTAAGTTGGTGAACCATAATCCATTAGATAAAAGGCATGTTGTCACAACTTGAGCATTACAGTGTAGAATATATTAAGTTGGTGAACCATAATCCATTAGATAAAAGGCATGTTGTCACAACTTGAGCATTACAGTGTAGAATGTCTTAAGTTGGTGTACCATAATTCATTAGGTAATAGGTGACATTAGGTTACCACATTTTTGTACTGAAAAACTGGGACTTTTTGTTTTCCACACAGAGTGGTACTATAACAACTATGAAACAGTTTAAATTACAATAACACATTTTTACCATTTTCTAAGCTACCTGATGTTTGTTGCATCAAATTTTAAAACCCTAGACAAACAAAATTTGTTAAAAGCTTTCTTATTTACAATGAATAAAAACAAATTTAAATTGTTTTTAACCTACTCAAAAAGAAAAATATTGCTTTTTCATTTTCATGACTGGGTAAGTCTTCAAATTTCAATTCCTGTCCAGTGACAGATTAGGTTAAAAAATGTAGCAGAGAGGAATGGAACATTATATCATGTGATCTGTCTTTGTCAATTGATTCTCAAAGTAAAATTTAAAGAAGCCATATATAATGGCTATTCATACATATCAAACTCACATTTAGGCACAGAAAAAGTGGGACAGTTTAATATGTAACACTTTTATTGTTTCTGATTGAGGCAAAAAATGCTACAAATTGGGATGATGCCAGTTTTCCTGGGATATCTGGTAATCTTAATAATATCACAACTAGAGCATTATGGTGTAAATTGATGAACCATAATCAATTAGATATTAGTCATGATGTCACATCATGACTAAGATGGATACTAATTTTGAAGACATCCTTCTGTACTTGTTCAGTATGTATTTCCAGGAATAATATGCATAAAAGCATTTCAATTATGTGTACTTCTTTCTTGTGTATTTCGTGAGTTTCCAATAAGGTTTATCACTCACGCTAGAGCTTATTTAGCTGTTTGGGTTGCAACACACTGTGTCTCAGTTGAAGGGTGATTTATATTGGTATTTACAGAATATTGTCAGTTAACAATAAATATACTTAGTATTCCGAAAATTGTTTAATCTCAAAGTCAAAGTTCAAGGGAGGTCCAGTTCATGGTACAATATGTTTGATTATCAGTTAAGTCTTAATGTGTGTGTTGTTTATGTAGTCAAAATGTGGTTCAGTAGTAGGTGAAAGGTTTAATATCATATTGAGACTGGTAGTACTTTAGTTACAGTGTATATATATCAATGTCATTGTGATATTATATATATCAATGTCACAATGAGATTGATAGTGTTTTAATCACTCTATACATATGTACGATATGGGTTTCAATTTAAATGAATGCTTCTTATAGCCATTACTGATGAACCTTGTAGTTCAGTACCAAGCTTGCGATGCAATATCAAATGTTATTTATCACTGTAACTCAAGCATTATTTTGTTACTGATGTGTATCATGAAGTATCCGTTACTTATACTAATGGAGAAAATTCCTGTATTCTGTTACGGAGAAGAAAGTTACTCTGTTAATCATTTTGTGATTCACTCTTGAGCCTCAAAACCTTAGAAAGAAAAGTCAGAGTTTATAAAATTTATTCCAATTTGGAAAGTCATGGAAAATGAGCTCTAGGGATTTCAGAATTGAAATTATAGAAAATGGCTTGCTTTAAGTCAATCTTGGAAAGATCCTGAAATTTCAGTTTCATTAAAAAATTCCCCGTGAAGTGATTGGGTTAATTTGAAAAAATTAAACAAATAAATCCTTGTTGTGAATTTTGTGCCTCCCAAGACGGTTGCAGTTTCTTTTAGTTGGCATGTTTGATAAGCACTAATTACTGGAAGTTTGAGTATGGGTCCTGGAAGGAGACCTGGAACTTTCTTTTGTAAAGTCTATGAATCCTGTGTGAGCTATAGGATGTGCTACACTTTCAAGTTTCTCTCTGTGCAGTTATGTTAGCTTTAACTGAGTTAACTCTGAGCTAATTGGAGTTTAGTTGCAGAAAGAAATGTTCATAATTATACTTAGCTATTTTAGTTTTCTAGATAAGACATGATATCCCAGTCTTTGTTTATGCTTTTTAATTCCTGTATGAAACTAGCAGCCTGCAATATTTCTACATGGAGAAATCAAAATTTTAATGCTGGGTCATGTTATAATATAGAGCATATATTTTTTTCATTTTTGTTATGAAGCATACAGCTTAATACTTCATAAAGTTTAAAATGTATCATGCATGTTTATACCTGCGAGGTAGACAGCATAATTCTATACCTGGCCTCTTTGTGCTTGCTATATGGCTTATTTTGAACTATGAAGTATGTGCTACTTGTTGTGTGAAATGCAGTTGATATGACCTCCTGGTTTTTATACTTGATGCACGAAGTATCTCAGTGTAACTACTTGAACTATGGTGCAAACCAAGTGATTAAAAAGAAGAGCTTGAGATGTGACCTTAGGTGAACTTTAGAAGACTGTTTTATTTACTAAAGATGTGACTAAATAATGTGTCTTAAATTATCCAAAGGGCTACATGGCTCATTTTTACTGCTGTGGTTTATTTGTTGAGTAAGCTGTGTGAGAATTTTCAATAGTTCCTTGTTAGACATCTATTTTGTAATTAGAGGTAGCTATTTCATTGTCTTATAAATACTGATATTTTCATTATATCAGGGTCCAGTAAAAAACAACTGGCTCGGTGGATTGGAGGCAATGGAGGCAGCTCTAGAAATGGAAAAGTCTGTTAATCAGTCTTTGCTAGAGTTGCACACTTTAGCCGATAGCCATGGAGATGTACAGGTAAGAAGTTGTTTTTAGTTCTTTATTGAAGAAGGTCCCAAATCTCAGGAACATAGAAGATATGAGCACTGACATTAATTGAACACAAAACGTATTGTTACGTCTCTGTTCATTTGTTAATTTCCCATAAAAATTCTTTCCGAGAAACTTCAGTGATACAGGTCCTTTCTTAACTAAAACTAGTTTATTATTTCTCGTTACAAACTTTGTAATACACTTAATCTCCACAGTCACATTAACTTAAACACACACTATAATTCACAATGATTCACGCACTTTACTTACGGTCAATACCACTCACTTGACTCAATTATCTGTCTCTATCTTTCTATCTGCAATCATTCTCTCCGCTTTATTTACCGGGCTTATATATTAAAATAGAGGGTGTCTGGCAAACACTCGAGCCTTCATGATCCCTCTAGAAACTCATCACGTGTTACCAGCATCACTTGACTTCTGCTGTCGTAACAGTATATTGAATGACTGTTACATATTTATAATCATGTATATGTGCATTGAAAGTACAAGTTGTAAAAGCTTATAATTCATTTTATGCATTTCATCTCCTTTGTTTTTTATAATTATGTGTGAAGAGTGTGTGTATGTTTTAACATATCAAAATATTTTCTAATCTATATATAAATGGTTTTGTTATTTTGCTGGCAGAACATGCATAGCAGTTTGTGTTCGTTATACTGTTACAACCATCTTTCACACTATAAAACAATCTTGTGTTGGAATAAAATATTTCAGAATGCAAAATATAGCTCACAAAAATTATCAGTGCTAAATGTAATATTGCTTCCTGATTATGACCAAGTCACATGATTAGTTTTGGTATTGTATTACTTCTAAACTTTTATTCATTATGGAAATAAGTTAGTAAAATTTTCTACTCCCGGTAACTTTTACTTGCATCTATCACCATGTGACCTTTTATTTTGACCCCTGATTATTGTACCAAGCTTTCTCTGCGTGACTTTTCATCTTGTGACATATCCTGAATATGTCTTATTTTCAGATTGCACAAACTTATGAGATATCCCTCTACCAGTCATCAGTGCTAGATTAAACATAGCTCACAATATTTCCCTCTACTAGTGACTTAAACAATCAAACATTATGATATGTGTGCAGCTCTTTAAAGATAGAAAATTAGTAGGAAAAAAAAAGAGAATTAATAATGCTAAAATGGAGCTTATTTCTATCTAGTGGGTTGTGGTATATTCAGATCAAGCTGATTATTCTTAGAACAATGGGACAGGTCCACTGAATAACAAGAGATTGAGCAAAATATCTATCACAGAGTAGTTCTAAATACCTCTGACTGAGTATGTGGAAAAGAAATAGAGAGACAGGACACAATGTAACATACAAAGGAGCAATCTTTTTTAAAATTATGAATATAAACACAGTATGTATACTTGCTTAGGGCACTGGACAGTAGCTTTAACTGGATAGTAAGCTGTTTTCTCTCAAAACTACCATTGGAGATTGTATACCAGACTTTAAATTTAACATTACTTATTGACTAGGGCTAACCACGCAACTGGTCATTCTAATTTAAACTTAAAGGAGGTCATAATCTCAAGGCAACAGTTAACCTTCCATTGGGAGATACTTCTGTCAACATCCTTACACAACATACAGCATTAAAATCATACCACCCATCGATAAACCACTTGTTACCTTAAGAGACTGACAAAAAATAAAGGTGGTTAGAAGGAAATAAACTTAACTTTATTGACCAAATGTTATGCGAAAGCTGCACATACCAGAATAACTAACTCTTTAAAGAAAGTACTGTTACGACAGCGGAAGTCACGTGATGCTGATGAGTTTCTCGAACGATCAGGGAAGTCCGAGTGTGTTCAAGATGCCCTCTTCGTTAGTATATAAGCCTAACAGAGAAAGCCAGTGGGGGAATAAAGTGTGTGTTTTGCACTCACCGAGAGCGAAGTTATCAAAATTGTGAATCGTTGTGATTTATAGCGTGTATTATAAAAGTTGTTAGGTTTAAAGTGACGAGAAGCGTACTGATTGTAGAACTACTGTGTACTAAAAGTTTGTATCGAGGAAGAATAAACTTGTTTAATCAAGAAAAGACTTGTATTGCTGAAGATCCTCAGAAAGAATTTCTACTGGAAACAAACAAACAAGCAGATACATAACAATACTATACTGGAATATGAAGGTTGAAAAATGCATGGTATGCTTGTATACCACAGGGTTAAACCAAATCACATGTCAAACATCACAATTTGTATATGTATTTTCTTCACAAACAGATTTTTAAAATCTAATTTCAGTTTCAAACTCTGTCTACATTTCCAACTGTGTAAAGAAATATATAGTCACAACAGAAAAGATTCATATCAAGTATTTTAATATTTAATAGTCATAAATAATGGTAACAGGAAAGTTAACCAGCTAAATCATCATTGCATCCTAATCACTCTAAAGTTTTGTTTTATGTCACAGTTAGAACAATACATTAAATTAGCTACATTATCACTAGGTTAGTTGTTTGTTCTGACCTGTATAGGTAGCTTGCTGTGATCAGAAGTTATCGCTAGTTTAACTATAGTTTTGCAACTTTATGAAGTATAAATCTACAGTATAATAATTTGTATAATATATTGTTTTAATTACAATTTTTAGTAATCTGTATTTTTTATACTGTATTCAAATGATTTTGTAGCCTCATAGTTACAGTACATGTCACACGTCAGGTCATACTCTATCTGATATCCATGAATATTGACAATATTCTTGTAGTGTAGTTTCCATTGTAAAGGGTTCTGGACTAAGGCTTTCTTGTCAAAAACACAACATTACTCACTTATTGTTTTCCTTAAACAAACTAGTATATAAAGATAATGGATTCTCAGTGCCTGTTTCATCTGTCCATTCACAAAGAAATCCATAGACACTGTGTCTGGTAATTTGACCAGTATGTCATTCCCCAGCTGCGTGAGGTATGTGACAGTTGAACAGAAAATATGACTATTAACCTTATCTTAGTGAACCACGATTCTGTTGCCATCTTTCCAGACAAAGATCTTTCTTGGTTATGTTGTCTGGAACATGTACTCTTGGATTCTCTCTTGTTACAAAGTGTCTTACTTTGCTTACCATAGCAGGGATATTACTTGTTGTGTTGTCTTTTTGGATTGTCCTTGTGCCAAATTTGACCCATATTCTTTTGTTTTTTAATGCTATTGAGTTCAAAGGAAATTCTTGTCTTGCAAATTCTAAATCACCAATCTGAACACATTTTTATTATATCATTGTATGAATATTTTGCATCAAAATGGGCTATTTCTGATGGCATCACACTAATTACAAAATGACAATGTCTAAATGTAGTTCTGATACATTCTATTCCATTGTTATTGTATATTGGATGTGGTTATCATGTGACTTGCTGATATGGATATTCAAAATTGTTTTAATATAACTTACTCAAACCTCTGTGTACTGCATAAATCAGGGTTACTTCAAAAACTTGAACAGTAACAGCTAATCTTGAAACCGTGTTGTAATCTACTAATTCTCAAGCATTTACTACAGTTTTTGTGGGACTTCCTGATGCAACTAATGAGATTTAGTTAGTTTAAATTTTATACTAGAACTGCTTAATTGTTTTATCAAAACATTTAGTATGTTTTCTGTTTCATTCTAGTCTTAATTTCAGTAATATTTATTTACAAAAAACTTTCCTTAACCATCTTTGTAAATATAATAATTTATCAATAAACAGGTAGACTTCCAATTTTAAATACAAAAACTGTAAAAAGATACAAAACTGTTTAACTTTTTTTCGTATTTATTTGTAATGTCCCAAATCATTTTTGGATAGTTTTTCTATTATTTTATTTATTTGTTCCAGACACATCAGCATTTTCTTGTACAGATGTTGTCTTCAACTACCAGTAAAACTTTTTTGTCTTAAAAGAAATGGTAATCTTCTTTAGGGTTAAAAACCAATAAAATATTTTTTGTAATACATTTACCCTTTCAATGTGGCTGGGACGTATATTTTTCAGTGCTCTCACACTGCAACTGGAACAAATGTTTCCCATTGTCATTTAAAATTTCTGTGCATAATGTATGGTAGTAAAATGAGTTAAAGTATTTATTGGCATCCCACCTAATTTCAATAAATGGTTTCCCTCAATGTTTTTCACTCAGCCCTTCAGTAACCAACAATATGCCTAAGTACAATGTACAACAACTGCGTGAAGACCATGCCTGCATTGCTAGATGGCAAGTAGTAACCCTAATTACTATGTAAATATGCTTGATATGCCTGACTCAGATAGCTTAGAAGATAGTGAAAGTGAGTCAAGTGGTGTTCAAATGTGTGATGATGAAGAGTCAATGAGACAAGAGGATGCTAGCTCTCCATCTAGTGATAATAGTCAAAATGATGAACCTGGACCCAGCAGAGGAAGGTGTAAACAGTGTCGACAATGGGAAATATACGTCCCAGCTGCAGTGTGAGGGGGTGGGAGCACTGGGAAATATACGTCCCAGCTGCAGTGAACAGGTTAAGTGAATTAACTTTTTGCTGTACTCTGAGTATCTATGTGAAACAAGTAGTTAGTGATAACTTTATATCTGATTTAAGATATTAAGTTTTACAAAATAGAGTGATATATGTTTGTATTCTAAGAATTCTATTCTCACAACAGTTATGTGACTACTTGGGCAGCTATCTTCATGAGCAAGTTGATAGTATTATGGAAATCTCAAAACATATCACCAACCTGAAACGTGTGGGAATTGGTCTTGGAAAATATCTACATGACAAGCATGGCTTGCACACCAATAGTAATGAATAAGATTGTTCATCCAGCTTTTAGCTATATAAATTGATATTCAAATTTTAGTTGCTTTGTGGTTATAATTAAAGTTTATCTTTGTTTCTAAAACGACCATTAAGAATACAAGTGTTAACAAGTGATCTGACTTTTGTAAAATCTCAAACTAGTAGAACTTATTTTTGTGTGTAGATATAGATAATAATATACAGAATTAGCACATACCATAGAACTGTGATGTTCCATCATAGGCAACTCGAGTAATGTATTTTATAATGGTGTGTTAGAACTTGGCATGATATAATAACGTTACTAAGAAATAATGTGTTCTTTCATTTTTCATCTTTGTTGAACGTGCAGAATTTACAGTAAGCAATATGATAGTAGCTAATTTCATATTGTGGATAAAGACTTCCTATGTTCCTGTTTAAAAAGTACTTACAAACTGTTAATAGTTTCTGAAATAAGATAATAGTAAAAATGTTTTCAGTGGAGTTAAACTGAGTGAATACACTGGAAAATTGCATTTACTTACAGTGTAGGTCATCCTGAATAGATAAAAAATGTTTATGCATTTCTCTTTTTACTTACATGTTGCTTTTTGAACCTCAACATTTCCTTTTGCTCATTAGTATAGATTTTCAACAACTGTGAATTGTGTTGAAGGAAGTTTCTTGTATTAAGTGATTACTGAATATGTAACCAAAGTGAATGTATAAATATACTACCAAATCTTTACATGAATATGCAAGAGGAAAAGTAAAATTATGCAGTTTTTTTTACAAGTTTTATTAAACAAAAATTATATATATATTATGCAATATTTGAGCAACTAATGTTATTGTTTTAATGATAATTTGTATACAGATAAAGATAGATAACACTTTGATATTTGTTATTGCCATCCTTAATTTTCAACCATGGACTAAGACTGTTTGGAGAATACCTGATCTCCTCAGTACCCAATAGCTATTAATGTCATTCTTTATCAAAACCTTGCTGTGGCTAGGCTGAAATTAAGTCTGTATAATCAGAGAAGATCTGATCAGCAGAAAAGACTAATTCAAGAAACAAGCCTTTTTTGTGAATGGATGATTTAATTTAGTATTGAAATTTGTATGTTGTTTTTTTGTTTTGTTTATTTCCCCCTAATCTAGAGACAGAGATTTAGAATAAGAAGCATCATTACTGTCAGTTAAATCCTGAACAAGCATGAAAAGATATTATTATCTTCAGTATTTAATAATGAATGCTCTTATCTATATTTAGTCTTGACAGACTAATAATCAGCAATTTTTATACAGAAAAGATTATATATACACTCTTCAGTAAACCTTAGATAGAACATGTAAAAAAAACTGAAGATTTTGGCCATTTACTAAATGTAGGAACAATATTTTTTCTTTGTAAAATTGGTCTAACGATAGTTTTAATATTTTTATTGATTTACAGGAACCTACACAAACTTTATTCTGATGTATTTACATTAAATAGGGTCACTGTTTTGCTCCTGTCATTGATGGCATACAAGTTAATATTAGGTAGTGATCATAACATTATTTTGCTGATAATGTAATTCCTTAGATTACCTCTAGTGGAAAAAAAAAAAAAGATTAAATGTGACAATTATGAATTGGGCAAAAACTAAAAGTTCTGCATTCAGGCTTTCAAACATGTTAAAATTCAACAAAGCATAACTTTTTCTCACGTTCACTAACATAATCTAAAGTTATATGACCTACTTTATTCCATATAGCTTTTACTATTATCATATCACTGAAGCTATAACTTTATGTCATAACTGAGATACTAACCAGTTAAAGTATTTACCAGAACTAACCAAAGTATAAGAAATCAAAATACTTAATATTAAAGTCTGGGTAATTTTTTCTCTTTTATCCAGCTTGTAAACATTAATCTCCATCTAAGTCACGAGTTTAATCCACATTAATCACTAATGTTTACTGCAACTTAATCATGAACCAGTCACGATTATCTGCTCCAAGTCACTAGTGACTGGTAAAAGTATAAAAGGGATGCATGCCTGCTTATTTATTTTCTTTTTGTATTGATCTTAGGAAACAAGCACTTTCCTGTAGTCACAAAAAGCTGTAAAGTATGCATCAAATTTTTAACTCAAATTAACTGTAAGAACCATTAAAAACTGATGCATGGAATGGAAGAAGAGAAAAAAGAAACATCTATTGAAAATGACATTTAGAGTAAAAACAGTCCATTAAAAGAGAGATTTGGTGAAAAGGGGATACTGGTGATGATGAAATCTCTTTGAGTTTTAATGTTTCTACAAAGTTCATAACTGTGACAAAGGTTATGATTTCCGTAATGAGAGATGTAATACAAAAGTAAAACATTTAAGACAGCATTTAATTTGATTGGCCTTAGAAACATACAAAAAAAATATGAACTTGGTATCTTAGTGACATAACCTTGAAAGAAGCTAAGTAAATAACGTATCATGAATTTCTTAATGAAAAATTAGGAGAATACCAAAAAATGTTAACATCCTACCTGAATTTAGGCATGTTCCAATCACAAATAAGTCATGAAAACAAAATGAAAATTAATATAGGTGAATGTGATGAGCTGAAAATTATTCAAGTGTTAAGATTGTTAGGTTGAAAGTTTCACTAATAATGAAACACCTGGTTTGTAATAAAATTAGAATATAGGTTGTTATGAGTAATATAATACATAAAAATATAGTAAGTCTGCATGTGCCATAAAAATGTAGCTATTACACATTCAATAGTCTCCTGGTGGTACAGGACAGTGGTAAGTCTTCGGATTTACAATCCTAAAATTCAGAGGTTTGATTCCTCTAGGTGGTCGCAGCAGATAGCATGATGTGGCTTAGCTATAACAAAAGCACACACAAATTCAAAAACTGAATAAAAAAATATCTAGATTAAATGTTTGTGTTACTAAATGTCTCTTATGTGTGAAAAAACCTGGTAAACTAGATCTGTGACTTCTGGTGTGTGCGTGTGTGAAGGTCACTTAAACCATGTGGTCAATTGCTTTGATGACCCCTATTTATCCAAAACACCTTAATTTCCTTTTGACCTAAACATTAAACAGAACAAGTAAGAAAAAAGGAATATATGACTATCTGGTTGGTCTTTTACCTCAATATAATGGTATGGCTTTAAACTAAAATTATCAAACATTAATGAAATGTCTCTGAATATTCAGAATAATTCAGATTTTTTATACAAACATTTCACAATGAGGAAAACCCTGTCATCTTGAGGAAAAAGGAATTAAGACCTGTCATGTAGTACATATTGACTAGAGCCTAAAACAAAGATTTTTACTGGTTAATTACACTATCTTTGATTGGCCAGAAAAGTTGTCCTGATTGTGCGAGAACTAATCATATAAAATGCAAGGCCTTGTGTACTGTTTTAGATAGTAGTAGTACTTGTACTATGATGTAGGATATTAAAATTAATTATTTGGTTTAAAAGGCATTATGACAAGCATCAGTTAAATAAGATGGGAAAATTTTCGTCTATTAGAAGATTAAATAAATGTTTATAATTTGTAGTTGTTCAGAATTTAATAATTTAATAAGTAACTTAAAATAGCAATCAGTTAGTCTAACTTGAGATTTTGTTTACATCACAGCTATGTTACTACTAACAGTAATTAGTTGTATCACTTTTAGTTAACAGTTGATTTTAGTTTTAGATATATCTACAATTTAACTTATAAATTGTAAAAAGCCAAGTTTTATAATTATTGGGTTTGTAGAGTGGCAATAGAGAATAAAGGTTATTAAAACTTCAATACTGTTAGAGGTAGGTAAATTAGGGATAAGTGATGAGCATTGTATAGGATGTAATAGGTGCCAAGATTGTGTTGTGTTTCAGGATTGTGAATTTCAGGAGGCTCAAAAAATTCCAGTACACT